ATCAGCGCGTCCCTTCCTGTAATCACCGCCCTCTATGTCACGCAGGTAGGATAAAATTCCAAAATAAAGGCCTAATTCTACATTTTCCCTCTAAATAGCATCAACACATTTAATCACGTTTAATTTTTGTCATGTACGTTACTGTAAGTTACACATAAAATACATAAAGGGATATATCGCATTCGTCCACTTCGAAACAACTCTGTAGATGGAGACAGTATGTCTCTACACTCGGCGTTACAACCCAGAAGACAAACATGGACAACCTCACAGTATCAGACATTCATGTTACAGATGCCAGAGACGCCAATATGGCTGCTGTCACGTGGTCGGTACGAGGACGCGGAGCGCGCCTTATGTTGGCTTCGGGGCTGGGTGACGCCTGACGTCGTCAGGGAAGAGTTCAACCAGCTCGTCATGTACAACGCAAAAAACAGGGATAATCCTGCCACAGCTCCCATGATACAGCTCACCACTCTGGTAAGAGCCCAGCACATTTACACTAATGTATATACAGGGTGTTCGAATTTATCTGCTGTCTCAACGTCGAAGACCTGGCGAACTCCCCGCAAGAGTGACTGAAGCCAGATTCCCACCAAACGAAAACTCCACTAGACCATACTTGGCGCCATAACAGCCCCTCGTTTTTGTTTCTTGCTACGAGAGTCGCCACCGTCAGAAAGTAGGTTTATTTTTTTTTCCCAATCGAACGACGGTCAATGACATATAGAACTACATTTTATATTAAAACGCAAGGCTTAATTTCATTGTTTCACTGGATAAAACTATTTCAGCCCAGACCGCGAGACGACAAAGGGGATATTACAGGAAGCTACATCGACAATGAGCTTCACGGTGACGTAACCGGCGCAGACCATCACACTGAAGCACAGATGTCCAGCACAACTCCTCCGTAAGTAGACTCTAATCGTACAAAGCCTGTGTTCGAATTATTTTTTAAATTAAGTTAATAGAACTGGTAGTATTTCAAATTTCTGCTGTGAATGAAACATGTATTGTGCCACAACAAGTGTGGGACAGTGAAGGTGAATCTTCCACGCACTTTAACATTGGTACTGGCCTCTATACCCCCGTTCGACAGAAGGCTGGGTTGGCCCCAGAGCCAGTCTGTACAAGTGGCCGACTTGCCAGGAGTCAAACTACGGAGAGCCTAATATGGTTCCTGTTAATTTGTTACTGACAGGGACGATGACGACTCATCCCACTGCAGCTTTGGCAGGTGGAGGGAAATGCTACGTCCCTCCACCCTGCGCCCCCTCATGCTGGTTGTCCCGTACTTCCTGATACAGCAGTTCTCAGGAATGGCGAGCATCAGGCCGTACATGGTGCATGTCTTCAGGAAGTTCGGCCTGGACGATGCTGCGGTGTGGACCACGGTAACTGGAGAACTGTCTCACAACACAAGCCTGACAATCAACTTCTGCTGACAAGTGTCTCACAACATAATCCTGACAATCAACTTCTGCTGACAACTGTCTCACAACACAAGCCTGACAATCAACTTCTGCTGACAACTGTCTCACAACACAAGCCTGACAATCAACTTCTGCTGACAACTGTCTCACAACACAAGCCTGACAATCAACTTCTGCTGACAACTGTCTCACAACACAAGCCTGACAATCAACTTCTGCTGACAACTGTCTCACAACACAAGCCTGACAATCAACTTCTGCTGACAACTGTCTCACAACACAAGCCTGACAATCAACTTCTGCTGACAACTGTCTCACAACACAAGCCTGACAATCAACTTCTGCTGACAACTGTCTCACAACACAAGCCTGACAATCAACTTCTGCTGACAACTGTCTCACAACACAAGCCTGACAATCAACTTCTGCTGACAACTGTCTCACAACACAAGCCTGACAATCAACTTCTGCTGACAACTGTCTCACAACACAAGCCTGACAATCAACTTCTGCTGACAACTGTCTCACAACACAAGCCTGACAATCAACTTCTGCTGACAACTGTCTCACAACACAAGCCTGACAATCAACTTCTGCTGACAACTGTCTCACAACACAAGCCTGACAATCAACTTCTGCTGACAACTGTCTCACAACACAAGCCTGACAATCAACTTCTGCTGACAACTGTCTCACAACACAAGCCTGACAATCAACTTCTGCTGACAACTGTCTCACAACACAAGCCTGACAATCAACTTCTGCTGACAACTGTCTCACAACACAAGCCTGACAATCAACTTCTGCTGACAACTGTCTCACAACACAAGCCTGACAATCAACTTCTGCTGACAACTGTCTCACAACACAAGCCTGACAATCAACTTCTGCTGACAACTGTCTCACAACACAAGCCTGACAATCAACTTCTGCTGACAACTGTCTCACAACACAAGCCTGACAATCAACTTCTGCTGACAACTGTCTCACAGCACGGCCCGAACTATCCCATATAGGGCCCAATGAAGGATTTGTGAACACAGTAATAAATTTTCGATTTCCATAAAGTACGGACTCTCTTGCTGACTTCAGCAGAGGTTACCCAGAACTAATTATGCATATTTACAGACATGGAACGAATGTCATGTTTGATGAAAGACTCTCGGGCTATCATTTTTGATCCGCGACAAAGCAGCCGTCTCGAAGGGCCGTTTGTTTTAATCCCCAACTTCTTTCACAGGTCGGCTCTGCAGTTATCGGCATTATCGGCGCAGTGTGCCTGGTTTCGACTGTCAACTGGCTCGGGAAGAGGTTCTTGTCCTTGGTGGCCCTGGCAGGGAACGGCGTCTCCTGTCTGCTCCTAGGGGTGTACAGCTATGTGGTGCTGAGGCCAGGTGGGGCGACCCAGTACGAGGCGGCGTGGCTTCCTCTCTCCCTGATCGTCGTCCTGTCTTTCTGCAGCAGCGTAATGTTCGAGGTTCCTTGGATGATGCTTAGCGAAGTCTTCCCGTTCAGGTGCGGCGAAAACTTGCGTAGTTGAAGATTCCAGTGAAATGGTCTCGTAACAACAAGAAACCGATTTTCTTTCTTGCAGAACTCGAGGGATCGCGAGCGGCTTCTCAGCGGCCATGTGCTATGTCTTTCTGTTCGTGTCCTCGAAGACGTACCTTGACATGGAGCAGTCACTGCACATCCACGGGGCGTTCTTGCTGTTCGCTGCTGTCAACGCGGTTGGATTCATCTTTGTGTACTACAGAATGCCCCGAATGGAGGGCAGGTCTCTAGCAGAGATTGAAGATTATTTCAGCGGGCAGAATAAAAAGGGTTTCTTACGCAAATAAAATTCCGCTAGAGGGAAAATCCCATGTGTTTCATAAAATATGGAAATAAGTTTGAAATTATAACGTTAGCCATAGAGTTGTATAAAATAGGCCACGATACTGTCCTTCGTCGTCGTATGCTGATGAATGAAGGGCAAATAAAAATTACTTTTTACTGTCGGATGTTCTAAAAGTTAATTAAACACCTTTCTGAAAAGTAATATTTGACATAAAAATGCTTAATTATGTAAAGTGATTAATTTCTGAAGTAAGAGTCAAGGTCGAAAATATAAATACTATATTTTTGTTTGTCTTGAGTTGCACACATTTTCTGCACAGCGGCTAAAAAAATTTGTGATTCTGATTTTATGTTAAACCTCGACCGTGTCTTCCAAAATGAGTTTAAAAATATATATATATATATATATATATATATATCTATGTCACTAGTAAAATTTTACTGTGACAGGTTTTTAAACCGGACTCGCAAAATATTTAGCGCTATAAATCAAACATTTCACACAAACAAGAATCAATTCAAGTCCTTTAATCCTTTATCCAAGCTGCATCCTATCTAAGGAAACCTTTTATCAGGTTATATTTAAATCATACAATTCATTAGACGGTGGTTTGTTATAAAGCATGAAAGGTCGCGCCTTATAGAAGCTTACTTTATGTAATACCGCACTGGACGTTACTTTCACAAGAGTTGGTGTGCTATCTATACTGTGCTACTTAGCTGTCCTAAGTTGAGGTTTGCGTTGTTGGCCTTCGGCGAACCGTGGTTGCGTTGTGTCTGCCTGTGAACTTCAACGTTGCGTGGTTATTATTGTAAGTTTTTAGAAACTGTGCAGGGTTTCTAGTCATTCTATGGCCGTCAATTGCATACGAAATTTTAATTTGTCTCTTTTTATTAGCATTGGGGTCGTGGGTGTTCTGCTCATTTGTGATGTTTAGCTTTTTGATAGATTTACAGATGTCGAATTTTTCTTCCAAAATGTCGAGCATTTTGCCTTTTAAGGTTATTCTTAATACGTCAATAATATCTTGCTTGGGGCTGTATTCGTGACCGTGGTCGAGGATGTGTTGGGCGTATTTTGATTTTGTTAAGTCGGATCTAATATCGTGGACATGTTCTTTAAATCTGGTTTTAAATTCGCTACCGGTTTGGCCAATACAGACCTACTCGCAGCTTCCGCATTTTAACTGATATACACCGATTTTATTGTATTTATTAACTTGTCTTTTTAAATTATCGATGTAATAAATTCATGTAAAAGATTAATATGGATACAAAAATATAAAATATTAATTGACTGCATGGTGTTCCCATCTGTCGACAGCAGCGGACACTACGAAAGCGCAGTGCAGGGGAGGTTTAAAAAGAAATTGATCACCCTGTATAATAGCAAACGAGGTCTGAAAACACAAATCCTAAATTTATCAATGAGTGGCTAAAATACGTTACTAAGAGCGAGTATGAAATTATGTAAAAAAAAAACTTTTTCAGTTTCGTGGCAATTAGACATACGAAGAAGAGATTACATACATTACCCGAAATATTACATATGTAACATGTAAGACACACCGTGGATAATGGATAATACGGCTTGTTCACAAAAACCCACTACTGGATCTTATCATTAGGAATTGAAATCCAATGTACAGACAACGAAACTCTTCAAGAGTTGTTTCAATATTTTCCTTCTAAACTTTTCCCCTCCAGTCAAGTATTTTTAGCAAAACCCTGGAGTTGTGGTGACATACAACAGGCAGACACGTGTCGTATGAAAACCATGGTTTGTCGTTCTTATCATGTCATTCTAACGCAAGGTCGCTCCCTGCTCGATCCTCAGTCCAGTGGCAGAAGCCAAACGCCTCGCCCGCTGTCGTTTTCCGTAAGTACAATCTCAGGGTTCGCAGTTCTGGGCCAAAATACATGGGCACAGACAGGAATACAATATTAAAAAGGGTGTTAAATAAATCGGGCGGCACGGTGAATCGCTGGCGGGCTTTTGTGAACGCGGTAACGAACCTTTCTGATCAATAAGAGCACGGTAATTTTTTTAACTAACCACGCAACTGTCAGCTTCTCGATAATCTGACATTCCTTCGTGTCATAACCTTAACATCGCAATAGCCTACAAAACCGAAATTAATAAATTTTTAATTACGTCAGTGCCTTTATTACTTGGAATTGGTTTATTTTTATGATTATTTACATTCGTATTTCATTAAGGTGGATTTCCTTGACTTCCAGGGTTTAGTACGAAGTTTCATACAACAACACTGTACTCACGAATGAGTCTCACTCCATCTAGATATAAAAAGTAAAAAAAAAAGTAACGATCTTCCATACACGCCATGTAGACGCTTGGGGGGGGAGGAGGTATAGCTCCTACTCATTCTTGACCTCGTCACTAGATGGGGTGAGTGTTCAGCGTCACTCCCCGGCCGCACTTTACCCACCCGTGGAAAGAATGTGCATGATTTAATATAACGCAGTTTTCGAAAGATCTTCTCGCTGAATCTGCTCTCATTTTAGCAACGCGGAAACTTCATATTTTACAAGCAACAGACAATTATGTTTCTTATCAATCGTTAAACACCACATGAAAAGTCCCTGCACTAAAGAGAATTGCTCATTGTTTCATGTAGAGTAATTGAGGTCAAATTATTTTTTTTATCTTTTTGTGTACTTAATTTAGAAAATTACGTCAGACCGTGTTAAGGCCCTCGATGAAATCTATTTAAACCATTTGCAAGACACTGCAGTACCAGCTGGACAATCTTCATTCTAAATAAGATACCGATAAGAACGCCGTCTGCACGGAAGCCGATAACAGTGGAAATGCATTGCGTCACGAAGGACAAGACCTGCAGAAGAAAACTGCCCCAGGTAAGAGTGCTCTATGTGTCGAGGTCTCTTCTTGTAATTTGTTTCCCACTTCCAAGAAAACACACCACGTCACCCTTCAAAGTCCAGCCCAAAAACGACGTTCAGTAAAATTTTGTTGTTTGTTGAGATTACGAAATCAAACCCATGTGAGCTGTATGCATAGTTTCTTAACGTTAACAAAAAAAAGGTATAAATACTTACCACTGCACTATAAAAAATAACTAGAAGTTAGGTATAAAATTACATTAATTTCCCTTCAAGTGCTGAGACTGCCTCGACATTTTCAGATTTACACACGTTTTTAGCTACTCTTATGACTAATTCCACACGCCTTTAGACCATTGGTTATTCCTATCAAAACAAAACATTAATATATCTCATATGACCGCCATATTGTTGCTTTACATTCTACAGAAATATGACAACATAAAATTCATATTGATTTACGTTCAGGTCAGACCACTGGGAGCACAATTTATAAATGTTTGTGTCCCTCACGCCGCATATCTGACGAGATCTCGCAACATTTTAATTGCCTCACCCTGTATATTTTAGGAGCTAATAATTTAAAAATCTCCCTCACGTACGTATAATACAAGTTTACGGCGTCCTCGAGATACGCACTTCGTGTTCCGATAACGTATGCGTCGCCGTAATTCTGCTGTTTCGATCTGAATATCTGCGACCTTCCTCAGGTACTGGCGGGTATGACGGCCAGCCTACTCACACTGGATCTGGTAATGGCGATCGGCTTCGCCACAGTCCTCACAGCCGCAATACTCAACGCGAAGCAGGGTCTCTCAGCAACCACCGACCAGATGTCGTGGATTGGTAAGGTTCTTTTCTTACCACCCGTTGGACCAAAAATTATAAAACGAACCTAATATTTACTAGAAAACTTCTAATTCTACGACCAAGAATACCACCACCTGAGGCGTCTCGTATTTAACACTTTACCGGTCACTGGTAACATTAATGGTCCCCTACCGTTTTACTCTTAAATTTTGTGTGCATTTCTCATATCTCCTATTTATTCTACCTGCTAGGATATTATTTTATGTTGAACATAAGCATCAGTTGTAAAATAAATAAATAAATTGTTTCTCGCTTCTCCATAAGTTGTTCTGTCTATGGTACAGTACTCTTGTGGGCACACTATACAGGGTGATATTATAGTCCGGTTTATATTTTCAGCCAGCATCGCATTCATCTGCCAGCCAATAGGCTGCGTGATATCGGGGCTACTCGTGGAGTCTGTCGGCCGCAAGTGGGCTATGGTAATAGTTAACATCCCGTTCCTGGTGGGCTGGCTTCTTTACCACTTCGCTTACTCTATTGAGTTGCTGTACGCCGCCAACGTTATCTTAGGGATAGGAATTGGCTTCGTGGAGGCGCCTATCATGACGTACACGGCTGAGACCTGTGAAACTGAAGTAAGGGATATCTTGACTTCAATACCTGGTGAGTGACTTTATATTATACAGGGTGTTATAAATAAGAATGCAGTTCATCGTCGCTTATCCAAATTAACTATGGGCAAATCTGTATCATATACTTGAATAGCAAGATACTAATGCCATTTAAAATCAAAGAAAAACAATTTTTTTATTTCTGCAATGCAATAAACATTATATGTCACAGTAAACAATAATAAATATATATGTACAATTTAATTGGAGAATCTCTTATTTTATTTGGATAATAGACGCAGGGAACTTTTTTCTTTTCGGTGGAGGCCACTGTTTAGGAAATAATTTAGTCGGAATTTCCGTGCCTTTGACGTTAGATGGTGAGATTCGTATGACGTAAAGCTGCCTTTAGGGATTTAGAACTTCGCACTTAAATGTAACCTTCGGTTTTTATTTTCCGACTGAGTAGTGTTCATCAGACTAGATTAATGCGGTCCACGTCATCACACCCTGTTTACCCAAAATGAATTTTAATATTATCCTCCCACCCTAAACAACGTGATTGATTTTAAATGATTTAAGAGATGATTTATTCAATTGGCTTCACAAAAGAAAAGCTGAAATGACGTGGAGAACAGAGAATTACTTTGAAGAATGAAGGAAGAGAGAAAAAGGAAAATTATAAGATGAATGAACAAACAGAAAATACGAAAAAAAGATAAATTCGGTACAGAGCGTAATCTTCATCGAACAGTGAGATACGTGAGGTTATTTCTACTGTACAAACTTCTACCCTGAAGATTGTGTCAGTATGTTTGGCGCCGCATAGCAAAAGCCATCAGTTCGAATCCTCGCTGGTGTGAAAAAGGTAAGGGAGGGAAATATGTTTTTCAGCTCAGCAGTGGACGGACATTTACATTCGCGCTGAGCCGAAGGTTCCCAGGTACTGCCCACTCGTCTCTCTGATAAAGAAAT